TCCTAACATATTTAAAAGTGTGATTACATAAATACGCTGTGGCAATGAATTCATTAGATCTAGAACATCCCGACACCCACACTCACCCTATACTGATAGCACATATGCATCTGATTATCTCTTGTACCAAATCGCAAACACGTGTACTCACTAGACCTATTCCGCTAATGAGTACCTATGAAAAAGTAAAAACTATATGTGTAACTTAAATCTACCATCTCGTGTATTGTCCTCTGAACCATATCATAGAGTGGACCTACAAACATATATTATCAACTTATATTATGTGAAAAACATACAATAATCAAAGCCAGTGTGCTCTAAATAGAAATATATCCTCACGTTAACATCGCCTATAGTCACTCCTCTTGTTACTATACATGTGCACTATATAGAGTATGCACGCGCCTCGTGCCACTAATCGCTCACCTTACACTGTGCCCATGTCCATCCGAGTGCCACCATACCCCCTCTAACCCAAACATCCCAACCCCCTAAACCCCCCACACCCCCTGTCACCCCCCAAACATCACCTACCAACCACCAGATGTCAGCTCACTCTCACATCTTTAAATAATAGTTAGCTCCATCTACGACGCTACACAACCATAGCATCACTTACGCAAAATGTAAACTCAGATAAGCAGCCACATAGACATCAATAAAATAATAGCAACATTCCACCCCTTGTGCGTGAATGTTACGCTGTCCCTAATGATGTAGTTGTCAGATATCATAGTACGAGACACCATGTTCTAACAACGTGTTCCTAGTACACTCACAAATATACCAGAGCCACGCTCATACAACATGTAATACACAATGCTATAGTGCAACCGTATGTACATGCATTGTATAGACACGCAGACACTTCAAATTTTATCTTGTTTTTGTATACGTTTAACACGCACACAGTAGACATTCATCTCCGTCACTCTTTCTTCTGTACGCATATACGCACTGTCTATCTACCTCTCACACATACCTCAAGTCAAATCTCTGAATAGTAATTAGTAGTGTCCACGCCTCTCACTCAAGTAGATACATGTGACATAATCTCGCCCCTGATTATTTCACATATACATCCACCATTACATCTTAACTCCGCATAATATACTCCACAAAACTACACTACTCTGTTATATACCAATGTCTGTGTGCACCATATTAATCAATCCTGCACGAACACATTGCACCACAGTTAGTTCTCTCTAGAATTATCACTCTCAACACCATACTCTATCACACCTGTAAGTATATATCATACCAATACACAAGAACTCATCTGTATATACACACACTGATCTGTATATAACTCGTGTCCCCTATTTCATCCCTTACTGTCCTCACCTCCATCATAACTCCTACCAGTTGTCATGACCAAGTAACAGTATAACCCATATGCACCAGATATCATGCACAGCCTCCACCCTTCCAAACTTAAATAACTCCACGTTGTATCGTTAGCCACACTCAAGATATACCAAAATGTAGAATCTCTCACTATATAGACTCACTAGTATTCTTATAGATCAATCCTATCTGACCCCTCCTGTAAAACTCACATATAGCTACTCTCTACTAATCACTACTACTAGCACAATCTTGTCTGTCTCTCACACCTTATAGACATAGTCAGTCATATCGCCAAATGTGTATACATAACCATAATTGTGTCATCCACTCTACAATAGTAACTGTCTTAAGAACTAGTTCCACCACACATGCATATATAGATAAGAACTGTGGTCAACTTGTAATGTAGTGACTGCCAACACCTAGTCAAAATTACACCGTGTCAAAAAATTATGTGATATAAATAATTAATCACTCCTTATATAGATAGTGTGACATTTGCAGTGTGTAACATCACTCTCCTCATCCAAGAGATGTAGTAGTACAATCTATACTCCTACCTAAACAAGATGAATTCTAGTGTCAACCATCTCAAGTATTAAAATAAGATACCAATCCACACCTCTGCCCTCACTGTACTGAATGTGCCACACTGCACCCTCTCAACATGTCCCGTATGTATAGTACATGACCAATTCAAGTTATCTGTCCAAAGATAATCTATAATAGTTGTACGATACCTCTATACATACTCACTCCACCATATAAATCTCAACTCTCATATATCAACTAAATACCTGAGTTAGGAGACTCGTCAGTATAATCATTTCCTAAGCTAGAAGAGCGTTCGTCGCTGTGATGTTGCAATAATATCGTGACTGTGTCACAAAATCAATATATAACAATATATAATCAATGTAAGATCGAACATCGTGCACCTGCATCCATTCATGACGATAGCCAAACCACTTCCTTTAGACGCCGAATTCAGTCAAAATCTCTGCGCCCTGACTTTACATGTATATGACAACACGAAATGTTCTAATCTCTATAATTCTCATCTAGAACTGTTGTAATATAGACCCTAAACTTCTGTACCTAGAACCGTTGTATTCTGTAAATACGCCGTGTCCGCACCCTCGTAACTCATATGTGATCAGCACTATGTCAGTAATCAACTGCACTCTCTCCTTGCAGCTGACAAAGGTATATTCGCTATAAGATAGTCAGGAACTACATGTCACTTTAATCCCCGTCGCTAAAATTGCGCGTCACCACCCAGCTTAAATCGTAAATAACACTAATAGAATGTTTTTCTCTCTCTACTAGTATAGCGCTCAGTCATGATAACAAGTAACATCTAATTACAATCCAAATTTAGTCTTTACCTCTTCTCTCTCACCCGTACCCCTCCATAAAAATAGTATACATTGTGCTCAGACATGAAAAGCCAAATTGTTTTGCGTACACAAGCCTCTTGTGACCATCTCACGCTATAGCCTACACGTGACAAAAACATCATCTAACTGTACAGCCTCTCCATGACTCAGACTCGATGTCTTCATGTACCACTATATCATGAAAGAGGTCACAACTCTCGCAGAATGAGTGTTATTTGTGCCATCCATCCTCGAGAGAATGGTATAAAGTGATATAGTGATTCCTAGCACAGAACGCTCTGTCGTAATTAATCCCATGTGTACTCTGATTTCACGACATTGAGTCTGACACTTGATTACCTGCTAGATAAGATGATCCACTGTGTTAAGATTATCGCCCTAACTGATTCCTAGATTCCACATGTATCCTCAACCACTTCTATCATACTTGATGTACACTCACAAATAATACGCAATCAGTCTGTATGTGTAATGAGTGATCAAAAGAGTAAATTCATAAATTGTCCTTGAGTAGTATTATCGTACTCTAGCTTCCCCTCCCTATGTGCAGTTAAATTGTGGTGTAGAGTTTACACCTCCTAGCTCGACCTCTTAGATATAGTCATATCTGTAGTAATGCATGCTGTGTGTCGTACCATGTTATTCATAACAATGTAAAGAGGCAGGTGAATTAGTGCGTTTGTCTTGAATTCATTGAAAATGATGTCCGTCGTTAAGAGCGCATCGTATCCTCCAATATTCAACAGGTTGACAAATGAATTTCGTGAAGAGTTATCGTGATCAGTGTCAGATACTACTCTCACTAGTGAACCGGAGTACAAGCAGCCGTTGTGCTCAGAGAATGCTCGCTGGTGATATAAAATAAAATTCTGATGAGACGTCGTGGCTAGATGACCGGAGTAATGGTCGCATGTCGATAAGGAGCAGAGATATACTAAAATGTGTCTGATTGCTAGCTTCAGAAACCCTTGTTTCCATTGTAGTCGCAGATGATGTGAGAAGTGTGTTGCTGAACTGAGGCACTGCCATAATGTGAACTCAGAAGTAGGAGATGCAGGATACCACCTGATAGTCGCGCTGTGTGAGCGGAACGATGTGTACACAAGAAACGACATAGCAGTCTCTGACAGTATGCATCGATGACTCGCGAAGCGGGCTCAGAGTGAGGTTGATGGCCACGTCGATCAAGTAGATTTCATCGCTCTCAGAAATATGTCGAACTCGCTAGGCGTGAGTTGTGTGCAATTGGTGCAGAGCGTAGTCGAGTTGTCAATGAGTTGGAGAGTTTTTAGAGGCTCATTTCGTCTAGCCATAGAAGTTACTGTCGCTTGTGGGATGTGTATGAGTTGTGTAGAGACTGTTGCTCGCCGAGCATATGGTTTGGCGTCTCCAAGTGCATTGTTCTCCGAATGTCACTTACTCAGTGACGAATTTATTTCATTTGCTACGTCAACATCCTCTAGTGTTGCCTCCCCATGGAGATCAGTCCTCTCATTATACACCCAGCATGTGCACGGCGTATTTCCTTGTGTGGTGTGGTTGCACCGTTGCCTGTTAGGGTCAGAGTAGCCCGAACCCAAGCCGTGTGATCGATTAACTACATCAGAATGAAGCTGAACATTGTTCAGGTCAAAGTGCACAACTAATTACTCTACCGAATGTGCGGCTGAACTCCGTTGAGGTCAATTAACTCAACTCAGTGATGATATTGATTTTGTTTTTGGATTGTATTACATTTCTTTCTGCATTTCCTATATATACTTTACCCTGCTTGTGTGACTACCGGTACGTATGCGGACGCAGACGGCGACTATGCTCTTCGGGTGACACATGAAATTGTGCAGCATGTATTTGAACAGGCAATTAGAGAGAGGTAACCGCTTTGGGGAGCAGTGTTTCTCGACTAACGAATACTCTTTTCCCTGTATATCCGATCAGAAACTCGTGAAGTTTACCGTCGTCATCATGTGAAGCGCTTGTCGTCGCGTTGCCTGTTTGATTGTCTTGTCCGCGCTCCATCGTGTGTTGCGTTTCTCAACCAGTTTCTCCTATTGTGTGCTCCCTAGGCATGGTGGCCTCAGTTGCAAAAATTTCCAAACATTGGTGATAAATTCACCCTGAACTTGGTCACACCGTTGGCGGGTCCGGAACAAGTTGGTCAACGCAGAAGAACGCACATACTCAAAAGATATTGAGCTGCGTGGATGTCCGTGTCGTCCAACTGACCGTGCATATTGACGGCAGCTGACAATCCAACGGAAAACCAGTACTCCTCGAACCTTCGCAGACTGGTGAGTCGCTTTTTTCAATGTTAGCGATTGTTCAACATGCACCATTGCATTTTTCTCATTCAGTGCATAGGTGTCATCAATGTATCTCTAGAGTGGTCCCATTATTTGGCATGCACTTCGCATCTTAAAGTGCAAAGTGTCGATTCAGGGCCACGAGCCACTTGATCAACCCTTGACCCTAGATAGCGTGAAACTCGGGGCTGCTTTATTAGCAACGATGGGCGCATAGCAAGTGAACTTTCTCTTTGAATCTGCGACATCTTTGACGACAGAAGCTAGTTTCCCTCCGTTTGTAAGGCCGTGTTTACAAGACTACAGTAAGAGCCCTCCTACTCTATGCAAGTGCGACTTGGCTCTTTCGGTCTGAATATCTGAGGCGCCTTCAAGTCTTTGGTCATCGCTATCCGCGGAGCATTGCTGGTGTCGGGTGGCACCAGCCGTGTCCGCAACCATGTGCGTAGGCAATAATACCCACACTAGTTTTTAGTACAACAGATAGCACTTAATAAGTTACGTTGATTTGGGCACCTATTACATATGCTGGTCCACTGCTTGCCGAGGAGGACCTTGTTTAGTCTGCCAGATGTAGGGTGGCGCAATGCTCGCGGTGGACAAGAAGTTGACTTGGCAGCTAGAAATGAAGTCACTGATGACCAAACTGGGTGCCGTCGGTTCGTCTTGCTTTCCTGGCTGGGATCCACCCGACTCGCCTTGTGCTTGGCTCGAGACTATAGGACATGACTCACACTCTGCACCAACGGAGCGTCCGCTGCCGTCCCCTAGTCGGGTTGCCTGTTTAGATTTTGTTTGATGCTGCGTTATCTGCGAGCGAATGGTTGATTATGACGCGGAGCAGTGAAAGCCGCAAGGAAGCTGTCTCGCCGATGCCAACTTATCTTTGCTCGATAGCCAGCTGTTTGTGGTGGCATGTTGTCGACACGACGTAGGCGCCTTGTTTAGGACATTAAGGGTTTCCGGTATGTTCACTTTCTCTCCCTCTTATTTGCGGCACAGTAACTGAGGTGTTCTCCACTTCCAGCTAACGTGTCTGATGATGATGATGACCCCCTCTTGTTATTTCTCGTTTCGAATGGCTGATGTTGCTGATAACGATGATGCCATCAACGGATACCCGTTTGCTGCTTCTCATGTGTAAGTTGTATGTAAGTTGTCGGCCGGCGGCCGAGTGGTCTGCGCGCATGGTTTGCAACCATAAGGTCACCGGATCGAATCCACGTCGTCTCGGTATACTCCGCCCGCGTGCGACTGTTGGTGGTCGCGTGACTGCGAAGTGCCGTTACGGCGCGCAACTGGTTATTTCCGTGACTTTTGTGCGGTCATACCCGTCATTTACCGTGGCGTTTATTTCCGTTCACACGTCATGCGGTTAACTTGGGAGCTACGTTGTTGGTTGGGACATTGTGGTTTTGTATACTTTGTTCATTCTACTCATCTTGCTAGGATGAATGAAACGCGGTTGATCCGTGCAGTCGTCCTATCTTTCCGCTCGTCCCTCTTTTGTGCTCCGACACTTTCTAGTCACAAACACTGGCGCATGTCTATCTCGGGTCAACTAGTGCACTCTCATCCTATGTGGCTTTATTGTAGCGGTAGCTTGTGTTAGATGACGGAGTCAGAAGAGGAAATGTAGAGTCTAGCTGCACCAAGTATGCGCTCGTGGTCATGACACCTACAGTCTATGAACACTGCTGTACATAGTGCGAACATAGGGCAATATCTATATGACAGTTTCCTTGAAACAGTGATAGTTTCGCCTAAAATGAATCCTCTGCGACAGAAAAGTCACCGTCAGAGACACCATAAATAAATAGACCTACTAGGAAACGACAGCAAATGCACTACCGATGTCTCTTGTGAGCCATGTTCTGTAAAGTTCGCGCAAACTATAGGGTTGGTCACATGAGCCTCAACTTGTGGAATGCGGGGCGGACCATCAGCACCCATTTTAGCCGTTAGTGTCCTCATTCCACGCTACCAGGTTAGCTTTTTCCCCCTCGAGACTTGCACCATTTCGCCTCCGGCACGGAAAACAAGGCCCTGGGTAACCGATGATGAGCTTCCATGTCATGTGGTGGATATATAATTCGACGAACCTTCTCAAAAGCCTGGTTTGTTCTTTTAGCGAAATAACATGACCATCACCACTAAGTATTCTCATCGATACTACGTCGTCTCAGGTGCTCTCTTGTCTCCCGAAGCGGGCGGTTCCCTTCATTCAACGGTAATGGGATATTTGGATGTGTCATAGGTCCGAAACAATTAAGTCTCACTGCAGGGGGTAAGGGGGAAACGGCCGTTTCTGCGGTCAAACTCAAGTAAATTCCCCGTGCTTCTAGGACTGTAGCGCGTGATTTGACGACATCAGTCGGTCATTTATCTTCCATCTTCTCCCTAGCTTTGCTTCTGTGTCTGTACTAATGCATTTGTCGTCGTCAGCATTGCGTCCTGGAACAGACTGGTTGTGCGCTACTTTTTGTTGTGTCCGCGCCAACTGCTCGCATCCCACTGCCGTAACGAGGGCACGGAAGACAATGCAGGATAGAGTTGTGAACACAAGAGGTCTGCCTCAGTTAGAGGGTACAGCAGTAGTTGAAGCGAGGCTCCTGAAACACGTTGGAGCCAATCGTCAACATGGGAGACAGTGAATGATACAAGCGAATGAGAAAATACCAACCACACGAGTTCGTGGAAATGGGTCCATGACCTAACATTCAGTATGAAAGACATAAGGCCGCCAATCGAAGCAGCGGAATGATGCGTTTAAACAAACGGCAAACGAAACCAGGCAATTAAGAATAGTCACTAATATATATATATATACATATATATATATATATATATGTGTGTGTGTGTGTGTGTGTGTGTATCGCACGCATCCTCCCAACACTTTTGCGATCTATTCGTACTGGAACCGGGCTACCCTATCCTGGATCATAGTGCTTTTTGTGACCTAATCGATCACATTCAGTTCAACGCGTGATCTTACCCATTCTTGGTCCAGGGAATCACCATCAACGTGACCTTGCCGTCTCAGCATCCTTTCTTTGCCGACTACAGATTTCATTTAGCTTTGCCGCGAAGTGCTTCAATGAGGTTCACTTGGCTTTATTTGCGAGTTCTACCGCACTACACGAGTGGCTTCTAAATACTGCACATGTCATCAATGGCCGAAAGTTGGGTTGACAGCTTTCTTCAGTTTATTTATGTGGTCGGCCGGTGGCCGATTGTTACAAAATTTCCTCTTCGTAATCCCTTTGTCATTGTTTTGAAGCTGCGTAGGTGACCTCGAAACATCCCGTGCCCACCTACGACTGTTGGAGATCGTGTGGCAATGAAGCATCGGCAGGACGTACTACCGGCATACTGATGATACTGATGCGCTGCTTCGCCTAAGGGAATCCAATCCTTTTTCCGCATAGGCTCGCTGTCGCACCTAACTAACTTTTGTCGTCCAGATGGGTTTAGTTTCCTCCACACTAATCGTGACCTTTTATGCTCTTCGGCACATTCGTGCGTGCACTTGGGTGCATGCAATTTTTCGCACTCCTTGGATCGCCACAATTACCTTCCGGCTGTAGCATCAGACACCGTGTGATTTCTCGCGGCCCTCACTGCAAACCCAGACATACACCATCCTTCCCCACTCCAGTTTTCGTTGTTTACGTTCTTGTTGCTGAACCGATTAGGTTTAGCTGCCTAATCCGTGCAATCCGTACAACCACGCTATCTTGCGACCGTCTTCCACCATAGCCGTTCGTCTTTGTTTTTGCTTTGCAACAAGAGGCCAACGTCGCAGAAATGCTTCACAATCTACTATATACAGAGCGCCAGTTGTGCCTTGCACGCTTGTATGACGAAAGGGTCACTCGTGTGGTTTGCACCGGCTACCATTCTTCAAGTCGACTTGTTCCCCCTGCGGTACATATGCACACGTGCCCGGATACCTTTAGCATATCTACTGGTAGGGATGACGAGACTTTCAGTTGATGGTGCACGAATACTAGTCATTTCTCCTCCTGTAGCCTAGATGAGTTCGCACACACAGCCGGCAAACCCCAGTAACATCTGAATGGGCTTCCTTGTGACTATGAATATGAGACGTCTCATTGTGCCTTGGCGACCTACTTTCACAACAGTGGGGACGGATCAGGATCAACAACCAGTCATCACTAACTGGGGCCCTGTAATGTCTGGGGACACGTAGCACTCGTGCACAGGTTAAATTCTGCACAGCAGAAGCCCTGTTTTTCTCTCCTCCAGCCGAATGGACTACGGCGGTCATCTGTGACTTTCTTCCCACGCGTACCCTGGACTTTACTTCTAACCTGAATGCTCAATTGGACAGCCTATTAGAACACTATGGGAAAGGCAACGTCGGGTTCGATACTCGTCACACGCATCCTCTAGGTTTCGAAATCGACTCCGACGCTCTGCGACGCTGGCACACTGTCCACCAAGCCCCTATTCGGGGCTAAACCTCAAACTCAAACAACTGAGATCGATGCGACCTAGCCCTGCTAAAACTAGTCACCACTAGTTCTCTACGTTTTTGTTGAATAAAGTAGGAACACGATTGTATGTGACTCTCCTGCTCTGTTCGGCCATGTGAAATGCACTGGGGAAGTTCTTCCCAACAATCCGTTGCCAGATGCCGAGGGCGACATAACGCCCTTCTTCATGAATAACCGACTTTTATCATCTATGATACATTGGGTCATTGGCATTATCAACACTGCTTGCAAACTCCCGAAATCAGCGATTGACTCATCGTACGCTTTTGCTTGGTCCACCTTCCGAAACGACGCACTCAGCGTTATTTCTCCGACGCCAGCGCGTGCATCGTTGTACTTCATGTGCTATCTACACTGATGTCTAACACCAGATTGTTCTATATCCCCAGATCCTGTATGTTGTGTATCGGTGTTTTCGTTTGATTCTGCGAATATGGCCATATGGAATAACATCCACTGAACAACTGTAGGGCTTACGCACATACTAGTTGCGACATGGTATCATCTCTCCGGTTAAACTCGGATTGGAATGCGCAACGTAGTAGCTTTCCAGTGCACACCTGTACTACAAGACGACCAAAGGACTCCGCTCGTAGTACGAAGAAACCGCACATATCTGACTGCGGCTCAGTCGACAATTCCGGCGACTATACTGCTCAGACCTTCAATATCGGAGTCGCGTTTCACCGGAAACACGATATTTTAAAATAACTACCGCGGATGGATTAAAATAACAACGTTAAGAATCCAAATGGAAAATTGCCTGGAGTGCACAGGTGTCATCTTTGTATTGCGGCACAGTAGCTGAGGTGTTTCCCACCTCTAGCTAACGTGTATGATGATGATGATGATGCACAGGTGTCATCCGATGAAGCGGTCCCGTATGTACAAGTAATAATTTCGACGGAAGTAAATCAATGGCATTTGTTTCCTGTTGAAAATACAGTTCCGGTGCAGAGTTTGTCAAGGGAGATGATGATACTTCAAGTTGCGTTAACTCCTTTTGGTAAATTTTCGCGTAGCCCGCGCAGTATCTAAGTTCTTTTTCAAAGAATTCAAAGGATCAAAGCATCAGAAATAGTGTAACCAAAAATACGCTCCGCAATATCTGGTGTAAACTGTTAACTTCCCGGTAGGAAAGGGAATCCATGTTCTCTTTTATGGGTGGTGATCGTAGGACGCTGACAGTTTCCATCTCCACACTCCTACCGCATGGTCCGGCCCACCTGGTAACGGAATTTGTTGACGATTGATCGATGAACTCCTCTAGAGCCTTTGCCTCAATATCCTGGTCTACATTTCAGTGGGGACCAGATTTAGCTCGGGAGTGTGATTGCAGAATCCTATGTGGGTCACTTTGGATCATCTACTCGTTTCCTTACTTGCTTCGATAAAAGTGACTTCTTCCCCCTATGTATCGACCAGGGTCAACCGCAGGTAGCTTTTGACGGGTTTACCCTCTTTTGTCCAGAAACTGTACGGCTCAGAGTGCCTACTCATTTGTTGCTTGTAGCGTTCGGCTAATCCTGTCATGCGTTTTTCCGTATCTTCCACTTGATTGAATAATTGCTACATTTTCAAACAGTTTATTGTTTGTCTTGTCTAAATTGTGCCATGACCTGCTGTCTTGGACCTTAACACCCAAGGAACCAATCTCTCCCCTTCGTGAATGCTTCGTTCTTGACCCCCAGTCTTGATGAGGTGAGCTATGTAGTAGCAACAGTTGAACAAATAGACGTAGACGGGATGTAACCAGCGAACATGACTTGTGACACTCAACGTAGTGCCAGTTACGTTCCAATGATTAGCTGTTGTTCGTGCTCGCATGCTTTTCGACGCGAGTATGCGAAGTTAAGCTTTCTGCTTGGCCTTACTTCCTTCGATGCTCAGCCATCCGTTGCGATACCTGTGTAGCTTGTTCCACTCTAATTGTACCCATGTGCTCACCATTCCCTGTCTGCGTTGCTTTCTCTTTCACCAGGCTGGACGCCGTCGTGTTACCAGATTGGCCACCCAGCAACTTACTGAATTAACGCTTTGGCAATGGTTTGATCTACAGTGGAATTAACCAAGCGCACATTTTTGGTGAGCTCATACTCCCACCCAGTTTAACATCGTCGCCTTCTGAAACCGCGACAGATCTTCTCTTTGCACCCCTTTCCAGTCTTACTGGGCCGCACGAATCCACGTTGGCCAGCAACAATTGGGCATCGGAAGCCCTGCCGACCTCCACCGTGCTTTACTTCAAACTTGGATAGGGTGAGCTGAGATTGCAGCCACTCGCTCAACGCGCCGGTCTCGTGCTCTTGTGGACCTCCACGGTTCATCAGGATTCACATGCTTCTCCATTGCGGGTCCTGCTTCCAACCACGCAACTAGCTGGTGCAACCCCTCTCCAAGGTCTTGGTCGTCTTTTAAAGCCACTGGTTCATGTACCACAGGTTGTTGTTCACGGTTCTTCCGTGACGTCAACCGTCCCGGCGAAATCAACACATAAGCCCTGCAGCGATTCGTCGTCTAGGTCGACGAGTTGAGCCCATGTATCACTTTGAACCCATCGATGAAGCTTGTGTTGTATAACCAGTTTATCTATTCTCCAAAACTCTGTTCCGATGACGTTTCCGTCCCTTAACCTCATTGTTCAATTGCCCATGTGTTTTTCTCCAACCTCCCAGTGCTTCCAAACCTACCACCACTCCACTCAAGTCGCGTGCAGCTACAGTGCCTTCGGCTCCATCAACGAAAGCTCCTCCGCTTAAAACACGCCTAAAACACGTTCAGTAAAAACAGCTTACATGGACGATTGATAGTACTCTTGCTGATTTTCGGAAGCATCTGGGATCATCTGTGGAATTGAGTCCCTTGCGTCTGGAAGGTTAGCTCCTGGCCGCATCTGGAAATGAGTACTCCCCTCATCAAGCGACTGAACAGATTTCGCACAGTCCCCTTCGATAACACCATTTAAGGGTGCCTCTGCGCAAAAATGCTCATAACGCCGAAAAGTGGCAAGAGAGTCAGCTTGTGGATCCAAGGGATAGAAAGATTCACCTTCGATCGACTGAACTGGTGAGACGGGAATTGCGTGAGCGAACTGATCCGACAGTGCAGCACCTCCAGCATTCTCTCGTTCTAAGAAGAATGGTGTGGATTTGGGAAGTGTGTCCGCTAAAAGTCGGGTGTTGACTCAGTCACCGGGCCGTCACAAGCGTGTGGAACCCCTTCCACCTCTTCGTAACCAACACCAAATGGTGGACGGCTCATGGCGATGCTGTCAGTTACATTTGGGAAGATGGGCTCATTAACCTCATCAGGACGATAATCCGATTCGCTCTGTGAAACGTTCACCAATTCGGCAGGTAGAACTAACTCATCGGATGATGCGGGGTAACATGGTGGACAGAACAAAGAAGTATCGACCCCCGACTCAGTTAAGTGAAGGCCGTCGGGGTACGAATCCGTGACAGCTGGATCGATGAGGTTGAGAGCTTCTAAAACAGAGGAATCATCCAAACCGGGATGCGAGAAAGCGATTTGAATAAGGTCTAGAGTCACCTTGTGATGCATGTACTTCGTCAGCTTCTTTCTTCTCTTCTGCACAGAAGTGCTCATCCAGAGGCCAACTTTCTCCTTCAATGAAGGCTTTATGCACCGGAGATGACGTCGATAACTCAACTGCAGTCGACTCAGCAAAGGCTGGCGGTTGCTTAACTGGTTCAATGGAAGGGAATTCATCATCGACAGACGGCACTGGAATATCATCCGTTGTATCTGAAATTTTCGTCCCTTGCCTGAATGGACGCTTGATTTCCAATCAAACCCAAAGTCGCTGGCCCCCCACAGGACAGAGAGAAGACCGGATCAGACGAGCAGAGCAACAGGAATGAATCAGCAAATCACACCGTTCAATATAAAGGTAAGATGGAAAGTTCGTGGATTGTATATAAAGCCACCGTGGAAAGCTCTGGAAAGGTTAACATACAGCCAATAAAAAACTTCAACCTAGCGTTCATTGGCCGCTTTTCTTGGTTGGCTTTCTGTTCGCCCCAATCAGGGCGGATCAGTTCGGATCGCCGGTCGTGGCGATGGGGTCCTGGATTGTTCGACTCGCGTATTCCTTCCTAACACTTCCCCCCTTTGAGTTGTGTTGTACGATTTCAGCTTGGGGTTGACTTGCATGGGTGACACGAATTTGCGTCGCCGCTTCGGCCTCTGTGCTGCTAGGTTTCGGGGCGAATGTTGTGCTTGCTGTGTTGGGGCATGTTGGGGAGTCTTCGCTTCACTCGCGTCGGCCAGTATGTCTAGAGGTAACTGCGCTGCTGGTACTTGTTGTTGCACTTGTTCGCCAGTCCGTGCCTCTAGCAGCTGATTGGCATGTCTTACCCAAATTGCCGTCCCAACCTGGATACCGTAGATCACGTTACCACGTTTGTATAGCACATGGCCCATAGCCCATTTAGGATAGTGGATGCGATAATCTCTCGCCAGAACTTGTTGACCAACATTAAAGGTTCGCTTCCGAGCACCGTGTCGGATGTTGAATTGACGCTCCATCTGATAGTTGCGGGACAGCAACTGATCCTTCCTGGGTCTGAGGGCATCATGCGACACACGGATTTTCCTTTGAAACAAAGTTTCAGCCGGAGATAGGGCGTTCGGTGTCTGCGGATTCGGAGTTGTGCGATACGTCAGAAGAAATGTGTCAAGAATCTCCTCCAAGGTACCTTCCCCTTTCATCTTTAGCAAAGCTCTTTTGAGTGTATCTACTAAGCGTTCCGCTTGCCCGTTCGATTGTGGGTGGAAAGGTGGAGACCTTGCGTGGACGATCGCGTTTCTGCGACAGAAGACGACAAATTCAGATGAGGTAAATTGTGTACCGTTGTCCGAAACCAACGTGTGGGGAACATCGAAACGAGAAAATATCTGTCGGAGCGCGGAGACAGTGGCTGCTGCTGTGGTTCTCACCATTGGAATCACCTCCGGCCATTTACCGTGGGCATTAACAACGATGAGAAATTGATGACCGTCAATTGGACCTGCAAAGTCGACGTGTACCCTTGACCATGGTTTTGTTGGTATTGGCCAGGATTGCAATTCCGTCTTCTTTGGTTGTTTAGATACATTAGCAAATCGGGGACAATTCTTGGTTAAATTCTCGATCTGGGAATCCATATAGGGCCAATACACATAGTTTCGTACCAGCGATTTCATGCGATTCATTCCTGGGTGGCCACTATGAAATTGTCGGAGGACTCTCTTTTGAAGGATTTATGGAATGACGGCGCGATCAGAACAGTAGGCAGTTTCTGACGACTGATAGTGCTTCCTTCCGTTGGTGGAATTGTTGAAGTTCCGGCGTTGTAACTCTCTTAGGCCAGCCATTGAGGTGGAAAGCGATCAGTTGTTATAGGGTAGAATCATGATGGGTCGCTTCCTGCACCATTTCGAACGTTACTGGTAAAGCACCGAAAATGCCAGACACAACTTGATGTACTTGGGGTTCTACGGAGATGGCTGAACTTTGTGCCAAGTGGAACATATCCAAAACACAATATCCAGAGCACTAACTGAAGCAGGAAAGGAAGCTCTTGCCACATGCAGATCATTAAGATGCACTTTCGCTATAACCCGTTGCATGAGCTGGGCTCGATAATGCGTTTTGGATATTATGTTGAATCCGTGGTCTAGAGGTTGAATTCTTGAGGTCATATTAGGAGGCAGAGATTTTATTAGCGTAATGTTCGTGACATTATCGACATGGATATGACTGGGACAATTATCTATTGCCAGTAGAATGAATCGTTTCTTATTCATTATTACTTGCTCGAGTTATCTCATGCACTCGCAAAATATGGCTGGCAGTGGTCATCCATACGGATTAGTTTTATATCAAGGGGAGTGGAAGGTTATCATGACTCAGTTTTCTGAACACACGTGACTAGCTGACTTACCAATGACCGAAGGTTTTGGCTTCTCTCCACTTGAATTAGCACACAGAATAAGTACCAAAGCTTTCTGGAATGATTTCCGCTCTTACGTTTGTCACCCATTACAACAAGGCTAATGCCAGGCATCGCTTTGTAAAAGAAACTGTACGCGTTAGCTTTAACAATGGCACCACTTTAAGAGAGCAAGAACGAACATTTTTACGGGATAACTTGAATTCAGATTATTTCGTGTCTTCTCATTCAGCCGCTTACAGACAAAACGTGGAAAGAATAAAGGAATGCAATTGAAAAGAGGGTCAATAAGGAAATCAATACAACACTGGGAAAATCAAGACCATCGCCTACGTCTTACCGGAGCAAGGCAAGACTGGTCACAATGTAGACTTGTTTACAAAGGTTAGGTTTCATTCGTCGGATGGAAGAGGCTTCGGCGAAACGAAGCAAGCTCGCGTTGTTTTGTCTGCTGATAACCTTGATTGCGTCAGGTGGGTTTTCGCACAAGGTACAATCGAGCAGATGCGGAGCGACTGAGCTGCCAGGGAGTTTAGGGCCACTATTTGCCAGGTTCCGTGGACCATGATCCGTCATTCCATGATCCTAGTTTAGTCTTTTCTCGATTCGGCCAATGTACATGCTATCGCAAGTACAGGTGAATTGGTAAACATGAGGCGGTGACCTGAGTGAGGACTATCCAAGTTGGGTTCATGGAACAGCTTCTTGGTTTGAGATAACAACACAAGCTCAGCTGCGTAGTAGCACGTTTTTATGGCTTGGCGTAATCGGTAGCACAATCTGCTGTCGTTCACCTTTGCATGGTAGCGTGATGAAGACCTTTTTCTTTGGGACATCCATTCGTTTTTTTTCTTAGCAACCTCATTCCCATAACTGGCAATGAATTCATTCGGATGGCCGTTATTGCGTAGATTCGACTCGATATATCGTAAATGAGCATCGACTGAATCTTCAGAGCATATTCGGTTTGCTCTAACAAAATAAGTTTGAACTAGGGATCGTTTATAGTTCATTGGCAGTAACTGTTGAAATGCAAATATTGTCCGGTCCAGCTCGGTTTCCGGTAAATCGATCGTATAAGTGAACCATCTGCGCTCCTTTTAAGTGCAACGTCAAGAAAATGAAACGAATCCTCTGACTCACTTGACTTTGAATGGCATTTGTTTAACATTTCCAAAAGCAGTTTCGCATGCTGGACGGTGTCTTCAACAAAAGTATCGTTGAGATACCTTGTGTAAAAGTGTGTTGCTCCAGTTGTGTTGACATCGAGTAATAAGTTACTCTCCAAATGACCCATAAAGATGTCAGCTAGAATCGGTCCGAGAGGGCTGCTACCCATCGCAACGCCTTCAACTGTACGACACATATCCCCATCAAAGCAAAATTAGACGCCTTTCGTACAGATGATGAGTAAGGTCTTTAATCGATGTGCAGGCAGGCCAACTTTGTCCGCATGCATACTTATGATGTTCAACGTCTCGTCTAAAGCAACGTTCGTGAAAAGGGAACAGACATCAAATGATACCATGTGTTCATCTTGAGCATTCAAGTGTCGAACTTTGTCAACGAGCTCAAAAGTAGACACGAAATAATCTGAAATCAGGTCATCCCGAAAAATGTTGTTTGTTCTTGCTCTCTTAAAATTTCTGGATGGAAATGGCTGCATGAAACGTCTCCATCGCTGAAACCCGGACATTTTCGGTGGATTCTTGGACAAACTCGTCAGCAACTTCATTGGGTTCACCACACACGAATCTTTGGCAAATAAATAAATAAGTGTTTATTCTCGACTACGCTAGGCATGCCTGCTCATAGTAAGAGTACAATGTACAATAGGATCGTCACATATATTGATATATGAATGTATATATGTGTGTGTGCATGCAGGCATGTGTAACCGTGTTTATGAGATTTGTAAATGCTTTCCTGCACTTTTGATTGTGTCACCAGTGCTAAAGAGATGCTTGATGTTTGTGGACTTGAAGCGGTTGTCCGGATAAGCAAACGGGTGACTTTAGTTGGTGGCGAGTCACAACCGCCACATCAAAGTGTTGTTAAACAGCTATTTGTGGCATTTTATAGGGAGAACGCTTGCCAGGCGAAAACCCACCACGTCCTGGAACACTGCCAACAAACTATTTGCTGGAACAGGGGAAACCTGAACCACCCAGCTGGCACCCCGAGGAGGCTGTTTGGCTAGCCAACAATTGGATGTTGGAACATCTGCAACCCCAAATTCTCGTGAATATTTTTATAGCAATTTCTTGAATCATCGACCCGGAGATTCGAGGACTAACTGCTCTCACATATTGAAACCAGCGCAGCGTAGCATCCCTGAATTCGTCGTGTGAAGTTTCCAAATCTTCCGCTGTCGACCTCTTCTTTCATTAACGTATCTCCCCAGATACTCATGCTTATTGCTACTGGATGTTCCTAGCTGTTGTGTTGCTAACACTAAACTGTTCCGTTGACTTTCATGGGCTGCTGCTTTCCAGAAATTGTAGAGTATTAATCTCCTTCAGCATTAACTGATTGAGGTCTTCTTTGGGCAATAATTCATCGATAGGTGTAACAGCCAATGCCGAATTGTTCAGAGCGCGGAGTGGATCCAAGATCTAGTGTCATTTGCAGCAAGTCTATTACATACAACAACAAAAACCTTAATTGTCTGGGTTTCAGGCAGGTTTACCTCACATATAAAATATCCTGTTGCGCCTTAGCGTCGGACGACCGTAGATCGCGAAGTATGCCGAAGTGTACGTGTGCGTAGATTCCGATCGTGAATCAGGCAGGCAGCGATGCACACAATCACGACAATCCAGTGGCAACCAAGGGAGAACCACGAAAGACGAGCTCGAACCCAATCGTATAAGTATATATGGTTAATTAAAACATTGTACAACAACTGCAGTGAAATAGGTAAGCGTGAAAATAAAAAATAAGTAAATTATGCACAATGAACAGTGATTTGTCACGGGATAAAAGCAACTGCTTGACACGTCCCGTAGGATAGTTGCGGTGAATATGATGCAATTAAAATATGTCTGGTTCATCTATCGAACGTCTGCCGAGATGAATACTTTGATAATGAACATCAGTGGAAAATGAAAAAAAATTATCGAGCGTAAACGTTCAGAAAGACACTGGGATTCAGTGATAATTGAGGTAAGGAGTGAGAAAATAAAGTATGGTCGCTCACTGATACATAAATCCTGTTGAAAAGCATGCTTGCCGTAATCCACAATAGAGGAGTTTAGGTAACAAAATGTTGGGAGCTAAGAGCAAGATCTAATCGTTTTTTGAAAACATCCAAGGTAGGAGAGGATACAACTGAGTCTGGGAGTGCGTTTCAGGGTTGGCAAACCCGAAGGGAAAAGTAATTCCGTCGACACTCTAGACGGCTATATGGCTCCTTCAACTTTAAGCAGCTACCCCTGAGCTGCGTGTTGTGGCTAAGTTTCAGCAAATGGTTGCATACGTGGTTGGGGTCACTCAGTATCTGATACGCTAATATGAGCTCGCCGTGCAGCCTTCGATAGCGTCCGCTGAAAATTCCCAGCAACTTCAGCCTTCGGTGATAAGAGTGATAGCGCAGGCACTTTACATTCTTTGTTGCTCTTCGTTGTGGTGCCTCTATCGCTTCTAGGTCGCGCTTCAACCAAGGTTGCCAAGCTTGGATTGCGTACTCAACATACGGGTGTACGTAGGAATTGTGCATCATTGGGAAGATTGATGAGTCAAATCTTCCGAATGCCCTTCGCAGCATCATGACGTGCTGGTTGCATCTTTTCGCAGCTACCTCAGCCTGTTTTGAGCAGTTGAGGTTGTTCTGTACGATCACACCAAGATCACATTCCTGGGAGCTATTCTGCAATCCGTTTGTCCCAAGTAAATAGGTGTAGTTATGTCTATGGCGTATTTGTACAACGCGACATTTGTCTACAGTACTCCTTTCATAGAGGGTCCACTAAGGAAACACTCGACAAGGTGCCTACGGAACGTACTGAGCAACCTTATATGGAAGGGAAACAACACGACCAGAACGTGTGTGTGTGTGGAGCTGAGTGTAGTCGGAGGGCACAGAGGACTCGGTGTACTGGCGTCAGTGTGTTGTTGGGTAGGGGGTAATGTGTCAGGGGCGGGAGTATTCTGAGGAGAGGAAACGGGGTCTGTATTATCGACTGTAGGTTCAACGTAAGCTGGTTTGAGTCGGTCGATGCTCACGCACGCTTTGATCCATTCTTATTCAACGCGAAATAGTTGCGTTTCCGTGATAAGATCTCTTACGGGCCTTCATAGGGCGGGGTGAAAGATCTTCGGACGGCGTCGACGCGGATGAAAACAAACGGACACTTGTGTAAATCGGGGTGAATTTGCTGTTTACCTATGTTAGTCCGCGTAGACGTTGGTCAAATGGATCGAAAATGCTGTTTGAGGCATTCAGCGTACGAGAAGGGGTCTAGTTAGCCGATGGTGCGAGAGTCCAGTACCATCTCACCAGGTAGTCGGAGGGTGGTGCCGAACACGAGTTCTGCAGGGTAGCACCCAATGTCCTCTTTGATTGTATTGCGTATGCCAAGGAGGATGGCAGGTAGACACTCAGACCAGCGTGAGTCGGATGAACTAGCCATGATGGCAGGTTTTAATTGTCGATGAAAGTGCTCGACGAGGCCATTGGCAGCGGGGTGGTACGTGGTTGTTTTTCTGTGAGTACAGCCTAATAAACGACCCAGATCACGGAGCAGTGTGGAACTGAACTGAGTCCCTCTGTCGGTAGTGATGGTGGATGGAACACCACACAGAGAAATCCAAGATTCGACAAAAACAAGGGAAACAGAATCGGTAGATGTATCACGTAAAGGAATAGGTTGTGACCAACGGGTAAAACGGTCAACACATGTTAGAAGATGAGCAAAACCGTTGGAAGGAGGTAAAGTACCAACAATATCTACGTGAGCTTGTCTAAAACGTGCGTCAGGGAGTGAAAATGTACCTGGGGTGGTGACTGTGTGACGATGAACTTTACTGGTTTGGAAACTAAGGCAATGTTTAGCCCAATGTCTAATGTCTGAACGCATATTGTGCCAGAGGCAGCGGTCGGTAATGAGCTTTACGGTGGAGTAAATACTCGGGTGTGAATGCCCATGCAAATGATCAAAAATGGCTCGACGAAATGATCGTGGGACAAAGGGTCTAGGCTTATCGGTTGAAAGATCACAGTAAACTCTTATGTCAAAGTATGGACAACTGTGTGACTTTCAATGAGGGGTTTGCTTGTAGTTGAACAAGCTCAGGATCATTGTTTTGAGTGGCCGCTATTCTCTCCAGGGTCGATGGGTGTTGATGACAACTGATTCACATGAGCGCGGGATAAGGCATCGGCAACAGTGTTGTTAGGACCGTCGATATAACGAACATCAACACAAAACTGCGAAAGATAGTCCAGATGACGCGTTTCTCGGAGTGAGTAACGGTCCGAGGCCGAACAGAAAGCATACACCAGCGGCTTGTGATTTGTCAAGAGTATGAAACGGTGTCCTTCTAAAAGGTGACAGAAATGTTTCACAGCCAAGTACATGACGAGCAGTTCACGACCAAAGGTGCTGTACGTGATCTGAGCAGGTTGTAGCTTCCGTAAGTAAAGGAACAGTGGTTGAAATTCGTTATCAACTAACAGTTGCAAAACTGCACCGACAGCGGAACTTGAAGCATCCGTCTTAAGGACAAGTGCCGCGTCCTCAATGGTGTTCAAGTGATGAAGAGATGCCATCGCAATGAGGCTGGACCTTACCGTGGTGCGATGGTTTGTGTGCCTCAGTGATCCAATGAGCTATGCTGGGTGGTGCTTTTGCACCTTCAGAGCGACTCATACCAGATTGGTCAATGGTTAGAGGCCAGACAAACTCAGCCTCCTTGTCCTCCAGGTTGGGGGTTGGAATGAGGGTGGCACCTTATTCCTTAAAACGGACTCCTTGTAGCCCAACGCCAAACCCGCTGCCTTGCGGTCAGGTTTTGAACCAAAGGCTTTGTTTGAGAACCCTAACCGTTCTCCTGTCTAGGCCTGGGCAACCTGACAGTATCCTGCTCATGCAATATAATGAATCTTTCCTCAAACAATTTCTTGATGCTCTGGCCACCGCAGAGGATAATCAACGGAGCCTATCTGCTGCATCGGGCAAGGTAGATAGGGGTTTGGATGCTACTGCTCAAGCCTTCCCGTCTTCTTATTCCCCTTCTCGCGTTTTTTCACCCTTATCGTCCCGTTACAACTTTACTTATATCTCCCCTGTTTTCAACCCCCCAATTCTCGGCCCTCCCCCACCTTGCTTCAATAGTCGCTTGTCTTTTAGTTTCAACTCACATGTGAACGCGGAGCGTCATTCCTGCACTGTCAACAGGCCCATGTCCAAGCAAGCGGTCAAGCCCAGTTCATCGGCTTCCGTTTGGAGCCTTCGATCCTCCTTCAGATTGGCATGCGTTAATGGACCCACACTGCTACAGATCAGTCAACAGGCAGCACTTACCCGAACATTAGAGACCAATCGATCGATATCTGCTGCTTATCGGAGACCCGCCTGCAAGACGCGAGCTCTGTACTCACTCTGCGATCCCCTTCAGGTGAAACTAGCAGCACTTTCTCATTGCGCCTATCCGGTGACGATGCAGCTTCGAGCACCGGTCAAGCTGGTGTTGGTATTGCCCTGAGTCCCCGGGCTGAAGCTGCTCTGGTTGATTGGATTCCAATCAGTAGCCGGATGTGTGCGGTCCGATTGGCTGGCTCGTTTAAAGCTTCGAGGTCGCGTGGGACTAACAGGTGTCTATTCGTTATCGCTGCCTATGCACCGACAAACTGTAGTGATGACTCTGTAAAGGACGACTATATCGTCAAGTGAACGAGCTCCTTCGCCACAGAAGAAGCACGGACACTGTAGTGCTGGCCGGGGATCTGAACGCTCAAGTTGGAAAATTATCCACAGATGAGCTGCATCTGGGCGACCAACATGGTTTAGGCTCCCGTAATGATAACTGTGAGCGGTTACTTCATTTGGGTGAGGATGCTCGCTTATTTCTTGCGAGCACTAATTTCCGACACAGCACCCGCAGGAGGGTGACTTGGCGCCCACCAGCATCGAACCATCTATGGACGCAAATCGATCACATTGCGATAAGTTACCGATGGAGAGGCTGCGTTCAGAACTGTCGCTCGATTTGGAGCACAGGCGTGGACACCGACCATACACTTGTATGTGCTGACATGCGGATGCGCTTTGGCGGACGCCCACGACGACGATGTGAGCGCATTGACACCGGCCAACTGGCGAAGCCAGCTGTTCTGAATGCCTATCAAAGTACGCTGTCATGCGAGTTAGATAAACGCTCACTGGATGCAATTGAAGGTCACTGGTCTCATATTCAACAGACCTTACTAGCAGCAGGAAAATCCTCATGTGGTATGTCTAATCGGCAACATGGACATTGGGTCTCTTCACAGTCTCTGGAACTTATAGATGCTCGCCTGCATATTCCGGCTGGAAGCGAACACAATGAAACTCGCAAAGAGCTCCGGGCAAAACTCCGTGCTAGCCTGAAGAGAGACCGCGAATCCTGGTGGTCTCATCGTGCATTTGAGATGGAAATGGCCGCTGCCCCTGGTAACCATCGTAAGTTATTCCGTCTGATACGGGAAACGGGCAGCAGGAGACCTGGTGTTAGTGAAACCATACGTGACGAGAGTGGACAGCCTAGCCACAACTTATCAAAACGCTTACAGCGTTGGGCTGAGCATTTTGAAAGGCAATTTAATCGGTCGGAATTGTTAGATTTCTCGCTGGCCACTGATCGCCCCGCTCCGTGGGCTGTCCCTTTGGATCCACCCTCTCGCTCAGAAGTCGAACGTGAGATCGGACTGTTGAAGTTAAACAAAGCCGCGGAACCTGATGACCTTCCTCCAGCCCTCTTCAAATCCGGGGGACCTGCTCTTGTGGATGATTTACATGAGTTACTAGTGAAACTGTGGGAGCAGGAAACTGTCCTAACCGATTGGAGCCGCTCCGTCATAGTCCCAATTTTCAAAGAAGGCTCACGATCGGAATGCGGCAGCCATAGAGGAATCAGTCTGATCTCTATTGCCTCCAAATTGCTTGCCTCTGTCATCCTTCACAGACTGACTGGCACGCGTGAAAGCCAGATTCGTGAAGAGCAAGCTGGATTTCGTCGGGGTTGTGGCTGCATTGACCACATCTTCACCTTGCGTCACTTGTTGGAGCCCCGTCACACATACTGGCGGCCCACTGTAGTCGTGTTCCTCGATATCAAAGGTGCATTCGATTCGGTGGATAGACTTGCACTTTGGGACTGTCTACTCAGGAAACGTGTACTTGAGAAATATGTAAATATTATCCGAGCATTATATGCGCGTAGCTCGGGCAGAGTGAGGGCTTACGGTGAGTTGTCGTCGCCGTTTAATATCTCCAGCGGCGTGAGACAAGGATGCCCGCTGTCACCTTTCCTCTTCAACTTCGCTTTTAACGAAGTCATGGAAATCGCGTTCACAGGACACGACTTAGAAGGTGTGGATCTGCTCCCAGGAGAACGACTTCTTGACTTAGAGTATGCTGATGATATTGCCCTAATCTGTGACAGCTCACAAATGTGTCAAGCGGCTCTGGATAGATTAGCACTAGCTGTCTGTCACTTCGGGCTTTGCTTCGCACACTCGAAGTGCAAAGCGTTCCTCCAAGATTGGTCTGGACCGCCCCTTACGCTGGCCCTTGGTGGGGATCAGCTAGAAGTCGCTCAAAAATTCAACTACCTGGGAAGTTGTATCAGCGCCTGTGGGATTGAAGATGAGCTCACGAACCGTATAGCAAAAGCTCGGGGCGCTTTTGCTAACCTTCGCCACTTATGGCGCCGGCGCGACATCACTCTCGCCCTGAAGGGTAGAGTGTACAATGCAGCGGTACGTTCGACCCTACTGTACGGTCGTGAAACCTGGCCACTTAAAGCAGCGGACCTGAAGAGGCTAGTTATGTTCGACCACCGGTGCCTTCGTAATTTAGCTCACATCTGGTGGGAACACCGCGTGAGCAACGAGCGTGTTCGATGCCTTGTTTACGGCGCAGGAAAAGGAACTGAACCGCTCAGCACCGTTATTTCACGCATCAGGCTCCAATGGCTCGGCCACGTGTTACGCATGCTAGCCCACCGACTCCCGCGACGTGTGTTGTTTGCGCGCAGGGGGAGTGGATGGAAGAAGAGGAGGGGTGGCCAAGCGATGACTTGGTCCAGAGGAATGAAGGCCCTCACTTCTGAGCTGGCCTCGGTTGGAGCGTCTCGGCTCCCTGGTTGGGGTCCGAAAGACGATGAACACGTTTGGTTGGACACACTTGCTGATATGGCTAGGAGCCGACCTCAGTGGCGTTCGTGCTGTGAGTTTCTTTGTCCCACCCCATCCCTCTTAGCCTCCCCCTCCAACCACGATCTCATTATTTAGCCTTATGTAATTTTGCACAGTAATTTTTTTGATGTACAGTAGCCGGCTGGTAGCTTACCGGAACGATGCCCATCCGTTACCGGTAGCTCAGCCAGCTTGCACCAGTTGCTTTTCTTCTCCCCTTTTTTGCTATGTATTGCGGCACAGTAGCTGAGGTGTTCCCCACCTCCAGCTAACGTGTAGTATGATGCTAAGATGTTGGAGAGATGTGATCTCGCTAAACTTCTGCTTGACGGCCGTGAAAGCGGCTTCAACTGCTGCAGTTATCGTTAACGTCTTTGAGTTTCCTTTCAGTAAATCGGTAAGCGGATGAAGTAAATCAGCACAGTTGGGCATGAGTCTGCCGTAGTAGTTGATCATACCGAAAAATCGGCGGTTTCGGACAGATTGAGGCATCGGATAGTCGACGTTCGCTTGGGATTTATCCGGGATAGGTTTAATACCTTCGCCATCGATCCTGTAACCGAGAAATTCGACGGTGGACTGATCAAATTTGCATTTGTCCGGGTTGATGCTTATACCGTGGTTTTCAAGGCGTTCGAATGCCATTCGGAGGTGTGTGAAATGCTCGTCAGGTGTGGCGCTTGCGATCAAAACATCGTCAATGTAAACGTAGACGAAATCAAGGCCACGGAGGACCTGATCTGTAAAGTGTTGGAAAGACTGTGCTGCGTTTCGGAGGCCGAAAGACATACGAATAAATTCGGAAAGGCCAAATGGAGTGATCACAGCAGGTTTTGCGATGTCTTCCTCCGCTATTGGGCTTTGTTGGTAAGCTTTGACTAGGTCGAGTTTGGTAAATATTGACTTTCCGGCTAGTCCAAGAGAGAAATCGTGGATATGGGGTATAGGATACCTATCCGGAACAGTGACGTAGTTGAGAACACGGTAGTCACCGCATGGTCGCCAATCGCCTGACTTTTAAGATACCAGATGGAGAGGTGATGCCTAGCAGCTGTTAGAAGGACGAAAAATGCCGAGACCAAGCATAAGTTAGAATTCCGTTTTAGCTGCCTGAAGTTTGTCAGGGCGCAAGCGTCGATCTTTAACAGTTACTGACGGACCGGTTGTAACGATGTGATGGCGTATATCGTGTTTATGGTCGGAAATATCGTTACTTGCTCGACTTAGGGACGGAAATTGTCAGAGCAATGAAAAGTACTGTGATTAGTCAGGTATGAGGATGCGAAGTTTGAGAGAATGGGCTGAAACAAGTTTGCGGGGTATGCTTAAAGACGTAGTATCGTCTCGTAATTTCCCCCAACGTTGGTCGACCACAAGACCGAACTTGCTGAGGAAGTCAATCCCGATGATAGGCTATTGCACATCGGCGATGGTAAAAATGAAAGGGAAGTTACGCAGTTATCCAAGACTCAAAGTAAGTAATTTCTGGCCGTAGGTTGCGATTTTAGTCTGATTGGCTGCCGTAGGCACTGGACCAGCTGGTTGCAGGGGACGTTGGTTCAGAGAACGGGGGAGAACGCTAACTTCTGCACCAGTATCAATCAAGAAGTGAAGTCTGGTTGTGGAGTCAAATACGTACAACAGGCGACTAATAACCTGGCCGGCAACAGCCGCCGCCATTACTGGCTGGCCATGTGGTTTCCCAACGTAAGGTTGCGAAGGCTTTAGGGTGTTTACACCCTGGACGACAGTTACGCGCTGCGTCTCCGGAGCGGTGGAGATAAGAACAACAGTGATGCGACTGTCGTGTACGAGAGTTGTTAGGACGTCTGGATCGAGAAATGGATCGTCGCGAAGGAAAGCGGTCACGTCTGAGGTGGGGCAAGGTGAGCTCTAAGTTAGAAAATCTCTCGCTGATTGTATCAAGTAGCGTGATTCCAGAGGGGTTGCCTGAGCTTGTCTCAGTGAGGTGGGATACCGACGTCTTAATGAAGCGTTCGTGAACTTTATCGGCAGCTTCTGCCAGTTTGTCTGGCGAAAGATCGTCGGTGAGAACAGCTAAAATAGCTATCGTATTCGCGGTAAGAAAATTACTCCACAATTGATAGAGAACGGAATCATCCAGTATGGAAGAACCGACCATGGAACGCATGTGTCGGAATAGCTGAGACGGCGTTCTGTCTTCAAGTTCAACGCCAGAGCGTAACTGCTGAAGGCGTGTCTCGTCTGAGGCTGTAGTGCGCTTTAATATGGCTGCTTTAAGTTTATCATAGGGGGACTCTATTGGCATAGGATCAAGAATATTGATGACCTCAGAAGCGATGTTGGACGGTAAGTGAGCAGTCACATATGAAAACATTGTGGACTTGGATGTAACCTTACGAAAACGAAAAACAGCTTCTACTTGAACGAACCAAACACGTGGGTTAGAAACGTCAAATGAAGGTAAAACGAGTCCAAGAGAATGTTCCGACTCATTAATGGCGGGCCCGTGATCAGACATTGTGAAGAAAAAGAAAAATTATAGACAAAAAATAAATAAAATTGGGGGTCACCAGGTATATGGAGGAACCAGTAAAGGAGAATACCCAGTCAGTCAGGTTTAGCTCACATATAAAATATCCTGATGCGCCTTTAGCGTCGGACGACCGTAGATCGCGAGGTATGCCGAAGTGTATGTGTACGTAGATTCCGATCGTGAATCAAACAGGCAGCGATGCGCACAATCACGACAATCCAGTGGCAACCGAGGAAGAACCACGATAGACGAGCTCGATACTAATCGTATATATATATATATATACATATATATATATATATATATATATATATATATAGGTATTCAAAACATCGTGCAACAACTTCAGCGAAATACTTAAGCGTGTACATAAAAATGGGCAAATAATTTACAATCGCTACAAATAGCGTTTAGCGATCAGTGAAAGTAAACGTCAATGTCACCTATGCATGTCACCCATGCAAGTGCATCGATTCTTCGGTACAAATTGATCTGTGCCGCTAAAGATACAGTTTCCCTCATCAAGAGAAATATACCTATTATTATTATTATTATTGATGTACAGGTGTTAGCTTAGAACCGGTTAATCGATGAACATTTCTTTTCGGCAAAGGCATTTATGGCTCGAGAAATGAACAGTACAGCAATTTGCCAAGGTGGGACGAATGCCCCGTCATAATTTTAACCAAGTTTCTCCATAAAAGCTCCTTGAACTCGGTCAAAGATGGCACACCCATTACGAGTCTGTGTTAATATTGTTATAGTGATTGTTTGGTAGAGTGCACTTCGCATACAAACATCATACACGCGTTTGATTCCACGGATTGTGGAAATGCACAAACCGGAAATATCCAAAGTCGAGAGTCCCAATGACAACAGGTGTTCTGCTGACGCGGGATGGATATATCCTTTCGCAACTAATATGAGCGGATAATGTACAATAAAGGAGGTTGCCGGGAGTGCATTTTGTACATAGATTTGGATGGCCACTGCGTGCTGACCGACGCCGCAACTACCAATTTTGAGCCATAACGTGTGCTTCATGGACAGCAATAGCCATCACGTAGATAACAGCGTCCCAGTTGATGAGTAGATCTGTCTTGATGTCGGTGGCGTGGGGATGCGTGGTTCTGGGATGACTGTAGCTCCACGACGGCATAGCATCGTTGCAACTTGATTGACAATGCCATTGTGCCGTTCGCAACGTGCATCATGGGTTACGCTGCAAGATTGGAGCACGTGAGAGAATGATTCGTGTTGCCCCACACACACACCGCGACAATTGAGATCAGATGGAGAACGCGGTGACCTACCTCTGGTTCGTCTGAATTTTGTAGGAATGACGCCTACGAGCAATTGAGCTGTCCTGATAAATAGGCGCGGGAAGACGCATGCAGGTTGCCGGAACCATTGATGAGCAATCGCATTCGTGAAAGCATGACGTAGAGGGGATCCGTCAAGGATAATAAGTAACTGAGTCTTCCACACATCCTATGCTGAGGCTTTATCCGTAACGGTTTACCCACCTATGATGAGTGGCGAATTGGCTAGCCGATGTATCGCAAAGGCAGGGGTCACGAATTGCCCAACTCAGGATGGCACTCGTCTTAGAAAGGTGTCGCTCCAATCAGTCTTTCTGAAGTCATGGCAACATGGTCGAGAGACTGGGAATGCCTAAAACGTAGTCAATGATGGATGAATGCGAAAAGGCAATCGCTGTATCCTTGGGTAAACTTAACGAGTTGCGAATGTTAGCCCTCATTAAGTTGTCTATAGTATTGAGGGTGTATCGATGTATCACTACCAGCGATAGGCAGCGGATATGTGGGATGAGGAAGGTCCTGAGAATTTCGACCCAACCGTGTGGATTTAATGATGCTTGCGAAGACACCTAGGAAATCACACTCTTGATTGGGACTTGTGCAACGCATGGGCAGTGTTATGGCGACCCAAAGTCCCCACAAGATCGCAAGCTGAAACTACGGAAGGCAATGAGACTCGCATTCAAAGCAATGCACATGGATCAGACTTCTAACTCGCGAGACATTCACCTTTCGATCAGCCTTTGTACCTAAGAAACATTCCTGGTTCAGGCCAACCTCCCTTCAATCATGAAACATTCAGCTATTTGTTCACCTAAGAAACATTCAGCTTTTTTCCAGTCCAGCCTCCGCACGTACCAACATTCACTTTTCGACATGTTCCTTTGGCATATTCACATAGTGCCAATTCACTTGCCTCCAGGTGTTTGCTTACGCAATCCATTCTAGGTGAAAATTCACAGATTTCACAATCGCAGTACATAAGCAAAGCTGGACTGCGCTGTAATCGCCTTGAGTGTGGCCGGTAAAAGTGCCTGTTGCGAAAGGCCTGTCTTTGTCTTATTTCACTCGGGTTCGGGTAATCGCGTGTGAAATTGCGTGCGGTCTAGGAGCCGGTTCAACTTGCGCGTAGTAACCGTGTTGCGCCTGTCTCACGGGTCGTAGGTCGTCGATTACCTTGCCGTGTGTGGATAAAGTTCCGAGTCACTTTCGTTCGGCCGACTCGGAGAGTTGTTGCTACCAGATCGTCAGAACGTGGCGTAACTAAGAGTGAGACATAACAGGCACATGTTACAAAGTAAGCTTGGTGCGTGCTTCTGTGTTGGAAGATTTCACATGAGAACAGTCAAGGTCAATTTGTGGACTCGGATCCTTGGGGAAAGATTGTACGACATACCGACCCGCGTGAATACCGTGGGGCGGGTGAGAAGTACGTGCGCACATACACGGACAGAGAATATGCTGCATCGTTCGGCGTCCGCGAAGCCGTCAAGTACAGTGGTTGTGGATCAGAAAAACCTCGCACATTGCAGAATCCCGCTACACCCACTTTGCTGCTTGAAGAAACGATCGGCGACCACTGCACAGTAAGTCTTCGTATGGCCAACCTATAAAGATCAAATTAGTTTTATGGCCCAAGTGGTCAACATACAACTTGCAGAGGTGGTCAAGTTGGGAGGTTCGACTGTACCAATTGGTAAATGATCTCTCCCAGTTAGGGGCCGTGTACCGTCTGTCGGTAAATATACAAATTTATTTATTTAATGATATATCGTATGCTTTGGGCTCTCAGGCGCAGCTTTAGCACTTGGTCCGAAGAGATTGCTTCTCGCCTCTTCGTCTCGATAATACGACCAATGCTGGAGTACGGCACTGTCCCATCACCCAGGGCGAAGTAGAAAAGCTTGAGCGGGTGCAGCATGTAGCCACCAGGCTGATTCCCAACTTACGAGGTATGCCATACGAAGACCGATGTAAGAAACTAGGGTTATACACCCTATCTTATCGTCGGCTGAGAGTTGACCTCATCATGACGCACCGGATATTACATCTGGGTGATTACCCCATGTTGAGACAACTACTTCATCTGCGCACACCAAGCTGCACGCGAGGACACCGGTATAAACTTATCATCCCGGATTTGAAGCGGGTCGCCCATCAACTCTGTTTTGAACGCAGACTGGTGAATGTCTGGAACGACCTGCCTCAACATATAATAGAAGCCAACACAGTGTCTCAATTCAAGATGCTACTAGACCGACAATTTGCTGAGGCAAAGTACAGAGAGCGAAACGATAAATAAAAAGACCATGTCCGAAAACGACGAATGATGCAGCTACACAGAGCAACCTCTACTCGCTGCTTCGCACCAGTTCTCACGGGTAAAAAACCGTATGCTTGACAAGTCCCGTCGGATGGTTGGAGTAAAAATTAAAATCATCGAATAAGTAAATCGTTATTTTAAGCGTCTACCGATTTAAATGCACTACTGCATAACGATAATTTGAAGTGGGAATGGGATGTGCGCACACAAAATAGTATAAAGTGCCGTTAAAGTACGGCAAATGTGCGAGAAAGAAAAATGGAAACGACAACGCCCACTCGTAATGCAACTTAGAAAGCGTTTTATCAAGGCGTTTTTTGAATAGCGTTAATGTAGGGGAAAGGGTAACGTGAGTCGGAAGGGTATTCCATACACGGGACACACGGAGGTAGAAAACGTTTCGTCGACAATCAATTCGACTGTAGTGCGTAGCTAGTTTGAGTTGATGGCCTCTCACGTTGGTATTTTGGCTCAGCTGCAACAGATTGCGACATGTGTGAGTTGGCTGTCGGTATTAAATAAACCATGATTAGGTCACCTCGCTGACGTCGATATTCACCACTGTACGATCTCAGGGACTGCAGTCTGCGTTGGTAGGAGAGATGAAACAATCATTCAACGTGTTTGGTCGCTCTATGTTGTGGAGCTTCAAGTGCATCGACGTCGCGCTTGCGCCACGCCTGGATCGCATATTCCACGTGAGGCCTCACGTAGGCGTACAGCATTTACGGATAGATAGATGGCTTAATATTCCCGAAAGCCCTCCGTGACGGCGGTACCAGTTACATAGACAGAACCGATAGAGCATTGAGTTCCTGAGTGAAGGAACATGTGCTTAAGTGGGTTCAACGTTCGACCGCGCAAGAAACTGGCCGAACTCAAGTTGCTTCTCCGCGTAGGCCACCAGCCCTTCCGATCGGCTGACACTCATTGACCACAGGTCACCGAGGCGTTCACACGCCAATTCTCGGTTCCTCCGTTTCGCAGAGACGGTTGCAATTAACCGGATTAAACCACTGTGTTGTGTTCAGAAACAATTATCGATCAGCCTTAGACTGCTCCGGGATTAAACGTAATAACCCCGTCTCACTTATTGTTTGTTCGTCTGCACGCATGTATGTGTCGGCGACGGATTCTGCGCATCGATGGGTGTGACAGAGTTGCAGACACGGTGGTTTTGTGCCGAAGCTGAATGTATGCAGTCAAATGCATACTTTTGTTGAGACACCTGAGGTGGCTCGGTCATGTGTGCCATATGGATTCGACGCGGATACCGAAGCAGCTATTACATGGTCAGCTGTGTTGGGAAGCGGCATGCTGGGAAACCGAAGCTTCGTTAACAGAACATGATCAAAGTGAGCGTATCAAGTTTTAATGTTGATTTCAGGTGTTGGGAATCGAAGGCGGTTGATCGGCGTGCATGGGCGCGATCTGATCACGAAAGCAGTTGCCGAGGTGCAAGAGAACGCTCTTGTGCATGCGGAGAAGAAGCGGCAAGTGCGGAAGCGACATGCGCCGATGGGCGGTACTCCATCGACGTCGAGCGCATGGTGCTGTAGCACATGCAGTCGCGAGTGCCTGAGTCAGGCAGGCCTAGTGAGCCACAAGCGAGGCCACTCAGGACCAACATTGAAAAGATGACGGGTACTGCTGAGAAGGTAGGCAGAACCGGCGCAAGGTTGGTAGGTACGTTGCATCCGATTTACTAACGGCGTGTTTGCCTGCTGAGTTACGTTATTGTAAGTGATTGGTTTGATATATTTCGTTAATGCTTACTTTGTTAAGTCATTTAGATGTCTGCCTGAATAAGCTTCCTTTTACTTACACACGTCGCATAAGCTGATTGTGGTTATGTTCGTTAACTTTTTCGCGTTTGTGGCATTAAAAAATGTTTTTCAGATATGCTTAACTTATCGCGGATTGTTGATAACCAATTTATTGTAAATGATCGTTTAGCCAAGACTTAAGCCTGTGTATCCGTATACTTCATTCGGTAATTATTATTTGATATTGTCATTTCAAGTGGTTGGCTGTTGATTGAGTTTCCCGGTATGGCTGGGCTTGATGTGCTTGTTGACAAGTTGCCTACGTCTATTACCCACTACCTCGTCCATATTGGCTCTAGGAGATAGTTGGTCGTTGCCGGAGGGGACGGGGTGCACGGTCCTTGTGGCCGTGCAAGGCTGGAAGAGTGGTTCCATGCAGTCAGTGTGGAGCGAACTACGGTCCAGCCATCGCCTTGTGTGCGCCTGATTCTTAAAATACAGCGTGCTTGTGTTTGCCTATGAAAGAGTGTGGGCCGGCTCCGTTGATGAAACTTGGCATTCATCCACATACCTCCCGGTCTTATACCTTCGGATTTACATTGGATGTAGGATGTGTGGTTGGAGCTGTGGGTGGTGCAGCGCAAGACACCCATGGACCCTCTGTAGGCGCATGCATCCTGTGGCTATCCTAAGGAGGCCGCAGGAGAGGCACATCCGGAAGCGGATGTCGTCAACCATGTTTGGTTGCACCGTACCTTGAATATATATGCGAGCTGTTGTTAAAGGCACTGCTGAGACAATGCGGAATGGCAGTCTTCTTCTTACTACATTTATCGAATTATTAGAGGGATATCTTTATTTCGTCCAATAGCACCGTTATCTAGTTTCCGTCTTTTAACGTGTTGAATTCCCGGCAAGATACGCGTTGCTCTAAGCTCCGTTTTTGACGCGTACACTAGCGTTAGCCGGAGTTTCAATAACCGGCTATATCGATCCGAGACAAAAGTGATTAGTGCCCCATCGAACTGGTGGTGACGTCGTTGTTACGTCAGTAATTGGTCCTAGTGTTGCGCTACTACAAAGCGATAGTTTGAGAGATGGCCAGTAAAGAATTAGATGGGTGAAGAGGAACCAAGTGTGGGACCTAAATAGTATTAGCAAACATGCCTAATCAAGACACTTAGGCTATATCGTCCCCGCATGGTCTGAAATAGATGGCTATCGCGAGTAAACAAGACGACACCGATGAGATAGCTTCTTCGCTGTCCCGCATCATAACATTGTAATGAAGCCAAGATTTATAAGGCTCACATGAACAATATTCTTGTCTGCAGTTGTGACGGAAAATATTAAAACAAAAGGAATATTATGCATTAGAAGAAGCGCCAGTAGGTGCGCTCATTCAACAAATGTTAAATGGTCTAGGACGCATCACATAGCTTCGCATTCGTAGACCTCCATCGGCTCCACAGCTGAGGAATCGACATGCAGTTGAGGCAGCGACGACGGAGTCTCTGTGTTGCTGATAAATGGACTCATCACCACTCTGGGCTCCTAGGTTACTTTGGGTTAACAATGAAGCTTCTGTTGCGAGAGGCAGTAGACGGATTTCCGAAACGCCAGGATTGGTTGCCGCAATAATGGCAGCCGATTGATTTCCGCGGAACAGGGCAGCAGCAGCTACCGCTGCTGCTCCGCGCCCTTGATGAAAGTCGGCCGGGAAGCTGATCATCAATTCGTGGTCAGAAAGTCTCCAAATCTGCGGAGAAGAAGGAGTTGAGGCGTGTGCTAACTATAATGACAAATCAGCAAAAAAACTAAATGATTTCAGAGTCTGATTTGGGGTGCCAGTGTTGGGAGGAGAAATACCGATACATTTCCATTTCGGATACGGTCCTTGTGAACTAAATGATCTGTTATGAATTGTAGCATATGACAGCCGATGCCACCATCGAGCTTCTAACTCAAATGTATAAGTGTTGATCAGGGATCAATGTTTGTGTATATGCGTGTTATTAGGTTGTCATTAAGTCATTGAGGTTTTTGAGATTTTAATTCTAACTGTACTTCTGAATGATTTGTTGATAAATTTCTTCGATTTTTTTTATCACTCTGAGGTATAGGTTTAGCTTTATCTATCAATAGTGACAGTTCAGATTAGAAACACATTTTTACGGTTTTAAAGAACATCTAATGCAACATGGACCAGAGATAAATCCGCGTACTCTTTTTGTTCCAATTTAAACTCTGTCGAAAATCAACAGCGAATCTAGGACTGGAACTAATAATGACGGCAGTGAAAAGTGACCAAAACCTTGAAGAAAAACAGCGTCGTAGACGGTCATCAGAAGTTGACAATGATCGATTGAGAGCTTTAGTTAAAGCAAAGACGCGTACAACTGCTCGAAATCTTGTTGTTGACTTAGCAGTATCGCATGTGACGATAGATTGGAATGTCGGAAAAGCTTGATAAGTGGGTATTACACGGATTAGATGACAATAAAAAGAATAGTTAAAGTGTCGCCTGCCCTTTCTCTGCGCAATAAAGATGACCCGTTTCATCGCCCTTAACGGCAATCGGTGAGGTTCTGCTCAATGATTGGACCACGCTCAATCTCCACAATACTTTCCAAAGTCGAAATTGCATCCAAAAAGCTTTTGGTGACTGGTGGTCTGTGGCTAGCCTGGTCCATCACAGTTCTCTGAATACAGGTGAAACCCTTACGTTGAATAAGTACTATTAATAAGTTGTCGAACTGCATCGAAAACTGCAGCACGTACCAAGCATTGATCAACAGAAAGGGACCAATTCTTCACAATCACGCATGGTCGCATGTCGCTCAACCAACCCTGTAGAAGATGAGCGAGCTGGGTTAAGAAACTTTGCCTCGCCCACCAAACTTCCGACTATCACTTTTTTCAAGAACATAGATAACGTCCTTCGAGAGGAGTGTTTTTTTAAAAGCATGTTGAAACCGCATTCGTTAAGTTTATCGTTCCACGATTCCGGATTATCATTCATCCAGGATAAATAAACTTATTTTCTGGGTGTCAATTCCATTGACTTTTATTTCGGTTAAAGAGGTCGTATGAGCCAAGATATGAGCATTTAAATCTTAGGATGGAAAACTACAATAAATATAGTAACAACCTAATAATTAAGGATGAATCTTAACTCGTGTTTGTTGTACTGAGATGGTTGGTTGCAGAATTACTTAACGTACCCAAGTGAACTTACACGCACGCAAACTAAAGGTAGTGCTTCAAAGGCGTGCAAAGTCGTAAAGGTGGTAAAGGCGGGCGGTAGATCATCCACCAATCCTGAAATTCAGAAGACGATTCTTTACAGGGCCGTACGCACTCAGTCATGGTGATGCAGTCAACAGTTATAAAACGGGTAACGCCTAAAATATTCCGTCTGCCGGACAGGACGTCGAAGTTTGCTTCTGAATCACTGAAGATGCTAATTCCAAATGCTGCGAGATATTTTTGCGCTCACTGGGGGTTCAGTGATTTCACAGCTACTGTGGGATAACAGGAACAGTGATAGTTAACATCATCAGTAACAGTGACACAGTGGAGACAACCTATAACCACTTTGAGCAACGTTCTCAAACTTTTTGGGCCGTGGACCACTTTTTGGTGGAAGCTCCCAAGGTGGACTCCCTGTAATACTGTTAATCACAGGAATAGGCTTTAATAAAATGACAATGGGACGGAATATCCGGAAAACGGGTGTTTACTAATATTAGTAAAAGATGACGTTTGACAACTCCGTTCACTCACATTTCAAGTCTCTCCCAAACCCAGGTTCCTTCTTGGAAAGAGTTTGTTTTACATGGACCATTGAAAAGGTTAAGGTAGACCGTCAAATAGGGTTTAACAAATTTTCAATGTATGTTTGTCGTCGAACTATAAAATGAAATGAACATGTCAAAAAGTATTTCAGCGGAATTATAACAATTCGGTGAAATCCAGCGGACCCCTTTGGTGATAATTACCTTGATGTTTCCATCAGCTCCACCGGTGATCAGGCAGTCCGACGTAGTGTCCACACACAGCGCTCGGACGGCGGATTCATGGGCAGAGAAGCTGAGCAAAACTTTTGGTTTGCGCAAATCCACATAGCACACATCACCACGTTTTGTTCCCACTACGACAACACGATCACGCACCGAGCCTAAAGAAATCCCAGCAGAGTAGGAAGGAAATGGGCCGTTCGAGGAGAATCGAGAGGAGAGGAATCGATCAGGCCAGCCACTGCAATTGATGCTGGGGGCCAAATACGCCACAGATGTGCACGGGGCTTCAAGTTCCGGGTCAGTAACTCCTGTTTCAAATGACGCAGCAAGAACTGGCTCAGGTGAACCCGCAAAAATGATATCAGGACGAACCATACACATATAGAATAAGATATCAGGATGGTTCTCAGGCTACGCAACTTTTAGTCTTTTTGTTTCTGCTTCATTCACGCGATAACCACCATTTCACGATGTGATGTCGCTGCTGGCAGATGTATGACCGTCATTAGGCACAAGATGCCTACTCACCGACTATAATGGCTACATAATAAAGCTGCATCGCTACCTGGGTATCAAACGAAAAGGTGATATCAGACACACGATGCGACAGCTTTTGTTCAACCTGTTCTATTTATCGGCTCAACGGGTAGTGGTGATTGTGGCCTAACCACACACACAAATAAAGTGCCATCCATTCGCGAAAGTGTGGTACACAGCACGTTCATGTGACTCGGAGCAATTGAAACAGGTAACTCACTGATTACTCCACATCTGGTAGGAGACATCAGCGTGTCCCAAAGGGTTAAATTCGCACCGTCCTGATCCGCTCCATAGAAGAACGATCCACCCGTGCCACTGACTGTGTCGCCACCACCAATCTGTCCACTCGAAGCAACTGTGCCAGTGAGTAGCGACCCACCAGCGCATCCATTTCCTGCTGTAGCGATGAGGGTACTGCAACCGACGAAGCAGAAGTCCGCCAGACCCTTGGCGTGACATTTACAACGCTGTATTTCAAGGAAGAGGTAAGCGATACGATGAGATAGCACGGTTGTATTGTTTAACGAACAGAACAGATAACTTGCTTCTCGAGCGAGTGTGTGACCTGACTGTGCAAAATGCTCACAAGCATCCAAAAACATTAACACCATGTGTGGTAGGGCCGAGATTGTTTTATCAAACTGAATTCGACAAATGCCAAAGCCCTTTACTATCGCTTTATTGAAAATAGATGAAAACGTTGTCCGACAATAGGATTCATTCGGACTTAGATGAGAAATAACCACATCATACATAGCGGCATGTCCTGGAAATAAAGCAGTTCAAAGGGAGCGAAGTGAGCAAAGGTTTTAGCATGGAACACTATGCATATGCCTAAGTTAAGTAACTCCCAAAACGTTGATATATTCAATGTGTACTTAGTTTCGCGTCGAACATGTCAGGCGATGAGTAGTAGTGAGGTTTTTTGGTATAATTCAGCTACTTCATCCTTGTCACTCCCAATCAGCACGCTTAGGCTAGTCTGGAAAAGCACCAGATGTCGGCGTTTCGACCTTCTAGGTCTCATCAGTGATGCGTCTCTCAGCAGAACCCTGCCGGGTTCCGCCCCCATGACTGCAGGATGCCAGCAGCTAGTGCCACTTCGCCATGGGTGACAGCCGCGGACCTGCGTGATTGACAGTTGACTCTGATATAGCCCGGCTCATCTTCCACTGCCATGCCAGTTACGAACTGTGCAGAGGACAATGGACAAAAATTAAGATATGGACTCGCGTAGTGACGCGAGTCATATGTGTAATGGACCCGATTGAGCGTGCAATTACTCTCAACTAGGGTAACTCTTCGAATAAGTTCCACGGTCGTGGTGGTTGAGTGCCAGACATATCAACAAGTTCGTCAGGCGGCATGAAACTCGTTGCTCTCACTTGGAGGTGTCGGATGCTACAGTGTATATTTCAGCAGCCCAGTGTGCGCCGAAAAAGTTTGCTAGATGACAATGCATAACTGTCCTATGACATCTGTAGTATTTTCATCATGTGTCCACTTGTGTGGTGTGTTATGCGAGTCCAGATCGATTGTACTCAACTAACGACGCGTAATGACACAAAAGCTGCACATAAACGTCTTTAGCTGGGCGCCAACGCGGTGTGTTCGTCGTCGGGTAGTTGCATCATGTGTGTGTGGCGCTCGCCGTTAGCACCATCAGTAGACATCTTGCAACACGCGAAGGGAAGTTATGTGAACACGGGAAAGAGGCTTTGCGCATTCTTAGAGTTTGCATCTAGTTCTAGCTAACTGTATCCGTTTCTATTAATATACCCGCCTAGGTGAATGTGAATTCCAATTGTGAATATAACAAGATACGGGGTTCCCATAGAATACTATGATTTGCGCTTATTCTGGATGCGCTATAGGAGATACTTCAGCCAATGACTCAGGCGACATTGCCCTATGAGTTGAATTAGTAGGAACTTACAAAGTATGGTGGTTTCTGGGGCGCGGTGGTCTGTGTGTTCCAGAGGCCAAAATAACCATCTGCGTCGCCACATCCGAACTTAAACAGAAAGGAATATAGCAGAATAGGTGATATTATCAACAAAGCAAGCATTCAACTGCTGTCAGCATGCGGTCGAATAAGTGATAGAGCATAAGCATTGGGAAATACGGGGTTTTGGGGAAAAGTAAGCTTATGAACAGCAAAGATGTTCCATGTCGTTGACTGGCATTTGGACCGTAAATTATGATGAAAAGCAGATACAAAGCCTACGAAATTTGGATTCCATCCAGTAACATCGTAACGTGAAGTAAATAGTTTCTGAATGATTCGGTGACCTTCCAGAACGTACAAAGGATAGTACAATTGTTTTGTCTCGACTTGTTTTTCCAGACAATGACCGCATTATGCCAATCGCGGACAAATTGGAATGGTAAATTATCGTGACGCCTCCCCGTCCGCCCAGAGCAACCGTTTCGCTGACGCGCTGATCTGTGCGAAAAGATTTAGTAGTTGTAGGATGCTGAGCAATGGGGGGTGTCGAAATAACAGCCTAATCACTTGCCGACTAAACACGTCAAATGTAAGCATCTCTGTTGCAACGATCAGACGCACGTGGTAATTATGATGTATGAGTCGAGCAATGAAACGCGGTGGGTGCCGTTAGTACAGCTCGCTTCGCCGCAGAGAAATTAGCAATGGGGAATATGAATGAAAGGCAAATCTGCACACAAGAATGAAAATCGAGGGAGTTAAAATCGTTGAACTGAATGGTCGACAACAGGCTGAATACAATAACGTCGTTCTGGATAGTCTCTAACTAAGGACGCGATCCATCCTGAAACCCTCGTTCAGAGAGACGTCATAAAGACCATACCTTGTGTGATTTTATCATGCATTTTGCTATTGCCTTTTCACTAAACTTACTTCAGATTCCAAAAACAATGCTCTGATGTTTCTGGTGGGTGTACGTACGAAGGGAGTGACCAAGAAACGCAGACAGCCAAACGGAAACTAGCTTTGATGTCGAACATCAGCCGGCGGGAGCAATTCATTAATGCTCATTCCCACCATATAGGTGCCATGCTAGCAGCAGAGACTGGCGATCAAAGACAATTAAGAGTTCACTTAGATAGTTCGTTGCGGCCACACTCAATCAGACAGTCACCAATGACCCAGAAAAGCACTAGACGGCCGTTTCGCCCTAATGAGACTCCTCAGTGGCACGTATTCGCACGATACGAAACCCAGAACCAATGACTTGAGCGATTGAGTCGTGGGTGACAATAGCGAGGGGCAAATCTTCCATTCTCAAGGACAGAGTTGGACTCCACAGCGATGATTCCTCTTGCATGCCACCACCAAATGAAGTGGCATGCAGGCAAGAAAAGGCTAGCCAAGAGATCGGTCTGTTCAGATCAAGTGAGTAAGGGCCACCGAATCGCTGAGGCCTCAGCAACTGCAGTAAGCAGTCTGTTGAGTATTCTGAATGAATCATGGGAGCTCCGGTACGGAGGGCAGTTAGGTATGTGCCAAGCGATCGAACTAGGAATTTTCCCGTGCGTTTTTTGTCTGATCACCGATTGAGGCCACGCTGAGCTTCGTTCATGCTAGGCCGCGCCAACTCTGCGATTGGCCCGTGCAACTGTGGTCGGTTTGTATGGTGGTACCTGATCCGATTCTTATTCGTTGGCGCTGTGCCGGTTCTATTCATTCAGTTGATCAACCACTAGCAGGCCCCGTGTTACTAGCACGGTTTGTTAGCGGCACTGTCGTTCTCTCGCCATTTCCTGATCCCCTGTCTGCAACCAGTGTGCTGCACTCATACTACGGCGAACCAATGCTGCCTTGCCGCGGATGGTGATCAGCTGGTGTGTACAGCGCAAATTTCCCTTCCCCATCCCCTGGCGCCTACGAAACGAAGTGAAGTCCAGGACAGCGGTCGACCGCCACGCCATAAGCTACAGCAGAGGCGCAATGTGGCCGATCAGTCGATTGCGGTGCCTATACTAATTAAATAAATAAATAAGTGGTATATTTCTCGACAGTATGAGACAGACCAATTACGTGGTCTGATCATCATGCTGTACAACATAATCGGGCAGTAAGGAAAGTTTTTCGGGTGTTCTATTAATTAAAAGTAGGGAGTAGGAATAAACGTGGGTATAGCCAGCAGTACAAGTAAAGTAATACGATCAATCGTGGAGCCATCTGGTTACACCCCAGTGCGCATTCGCATAACGATCACTTACCTGGCGTCATTGGAATGTTATAGCTAAGGATTTTATGCATTTTTAGCTCGAGTTGGAACGTCATTAAGGAAAAAACCAAATATTGTTTGAAAATGACACCAATTTGCACGGAGAAGGCACTGAAAAGGTTAGTTCATCCAAATAATGGATGGAGCTCCAATGTACTTGTTAGCTTACCTGAAGAAAAATGCAAGATTCCGCTAGATAGTCAGTTATGAGTTCCCGCATCATTTTAAATGTTATCTCTTTAGGAGTATCAGAATGGATTGAAAACGATGTCGAAGAATAAGAGGCAGGAGGAAGGAGGACAGCGCTACACGGAGGGGCCGAGAACTCCCAATCAGACTAGAAGCATGAGCCTAAAAAAAGCTTCCGGAAATAAAACAACTGGGCAACACGGACAGTCAATCTCATTGTGTACCCGCAATAATAGACGATAGGGGGAACATTCTGCGGTGTCATCATTGCTCGGTGAACAAACTGTTGCCCTGACATTATGGTTCCAAGTTTTAAAGATGTCCCATAAGCAAACGGCTCGTAAAAGTCAAGCCACAAGATCGTATGCCTGCATCATTACTGGAAGTCGATTGCGACTCAATGGTTGATTTGGCGGCTGCCTTTATTATGACGCCTGACACTGCTAACTGCCAGCCACTCAGTACGGAAACAAGAACGTACTGCGTGAGGACGAGTTGTCTTAAAAACTGACATACGTAAGCAAACAGAATAAACTAAAGATCAATAGATCAATCAACCAATCACGTGAAAGGACATGGGCAATGATTGGCAAAACTGTCTGTGAGCGACTATTATGCGTGAGTCCAGTTAACAATTCCCTCCCTTAAGCTGAACTGAATAGCACACCATATTTGATATGAACTGCGCACCCTCGATGCCCTTTCGTTACAAAAAAAACTAACACACAAGTAAGGCTTCTCTGTTCTCTCTTGTCAATTGAGTCGCAAATATCATCTGACATGACAATATCGTCAAATCATTTACTGCGGGTATCGTTTGATTTCTGATCCGCCCGCAGCACGAACATCAATCCTCGCAGAAAGGAAAGCCGGTGAACCCAGAGAATCCAAACTGATGGACTCACCCTACGACCGCTGTCATCAAAGCGTAAAGCGGTGACTCGAGCTCCACGAGAACCTGCCGGATACTGTCCAGTTGCTCCCGAGGGTGTCAGTGAGTATGTGTTGCTGAAGCCTGCCACCACAGGCATCACAGTGCCCCATTCATACAGGTGTATAGATCCCATCCCAGTTCCCGCAAGATCTAGTAGGAGAAAAGAAGACGAAGAAGAGGAAACGTTATAGTATAGTGAGATTTAAGACGGTGCTCAGAAGAGAAGGGGCCTGAGAGAAAATGAGTGCGAAAAGCAAAACGCATGGATGGAACAGTGGTTTCAGTGTGCACAGTAAGCGACTCAAGCGCCCTAATCAGCCGTCTATTGTGTGATTTTTAAGGATAGACAGGATACAAATCCCAGTTCGACTATTCAAAATACGAGATGGTGGATTTTTATTATGGCAAATGTGCGGAAAGAGAACCATCCAGTAAATGATGGGTATTCAGGAGAGTAGCTCATGACCAGTTAAAAACTTGTTCTGGTCGAGAAGCATTCCCGATGTTCGACGGTGACCGTAGATACTTCGAATAAAGCTTAGAACAAGATTTCCTGTGCCCGGTTCATCCTTCTAAAGCGACCACGGGCGAACGGCCACAATGCTACGGATGAGAAGGACAACGAGGAAGATACATAGTAAGTTAAAATCCATACAACAAATAAACTCACAGTAGGGTAACATTGGGTGTGCCGCTAAACTGTACACAGCAGGCAATGTTCGTTTCAGAATCTGAAAGGAGAATACAGTTGTCTGCCAAATAGGAGCCGATGATGAGTCAGTAACCGGAGATCAAGACATGTGTACACCGGATACGACACAGAACAAGACGGAAATATAAATCTTTTGGAAAAAAAACTCCATACGGTCTAATAGGGGAGGAAAGGTCCACGGGAAAAACCACTCAAAAGTGGTGATTGGAAGAAATGGTCGGCGAGCATCATCAACGATCTGCAATGCCTCCGGCGGGCACGATGTTGGAACTTAAGAGAAGGAGCGGTGTAGCGCCA